TGATGGCCGTAGGAAAAGTATTGTGTGTATTTGTTGCAAAGCACCCACTTAACCATTCGCATAGATTGCAAGCTTTTAAGTCGCGAGAAGTAAGTACCAAGCACAACGATTCTGATGTTGCTATCAGTAAGTTACGAATAACTTTTATCAGTACACAATGAAATAACTACAAGATTCTTAAGTCAGCTTTAATTATGAAAACAATTTTTATAAAATTATAGTTCTATTAACTCTCACTGAATTTTTATTCTATTGTCGATTCATTTTCTTGCAATAAATTTGCAACCAACATTTTACACTGTATATACAGGGTGTGCCACTAAGGCGGAGTCCTCTATATCTGTAATAATTATTATTAGACATAGAAAAAAAGTTACAGACTTTTCGACTATACAGAGTGTTTTGTTTTTGAATCATAGGACATGATTAACTTCTGTGCAGGCTTCATAACCACGGTTTATTTTTGAAATTCTCTTCCGTTTCCGTCTGTCTGGTTATTTCCATTTTTTATACAACTAATCTCCGAAACTACTGGACCGATTGTTGTCATTTTTTGTATATATATTAGGAATATCATGTAGATGGTTAAATGCTAACTAAAATTTGGCTAACCATCCCCACCACCAATGAGATGACGTCATCTCCAAAATTTATAATAAAACGTGTTTTTAAATTCTACAAAATAACTGCACTTGTGATGTGTGAATCCGTGTCGAATTTTCACCCTAGATATCCACAATTTTTGGAAAAAGTTAGCAAATGAATAACAATATTTTGCAATATAATTTTGAAACTGCAAAACCGATTATTCTGAAATCTTGTAAATATTTTAAGGTAATCGTAATCATGCTAAATAGTTAAGCAAAATTTAAAAATTCCGACGATTCCACAGATTCCAAATATTTAAAAATTGGAAAGATGACAAAAATCCTAAAGATGCAAAAATATTTAAAATTCTAGAGATACTGAAATATCTAAAAATAATGAAAATTTGAAAGCTCTAAAGATATTAGAAATTCTAATGATTCTAGATTCTAAAGATTCTAAGGATTCTAAAGGTTCAAAACTTTCCAGTGGTTTGTAAGACGCAAAAAGTACAAAAGTTTTCCCGGATTACATACACTAGAAATTGCGAATTGTAAAGACACTTAAGATTCTGAATAAACTAAGGTTCGAATGTTCTAAATATAAAAAAGATCCAACAAAATCTTAAAAATTTTAAAGAAGCTGGGGGTTAATGATCCTAGAAATTGCAGAAATTTTAGACTTTATAAAATTCCTAGTAATTCCCAAAGTCTTGAACATTTCCATAAATTGGAAAGACTAAAGAGTCTAAAGATTAAATACTCTAACGACCAAAGATTTTAAAGTCTCTAAAGACTCTAAGGACACTAAGAGGTCAAACGCTAACATTCTGTTTCTGAAAGATTCTAGAGGTTCTAGAGAAATTCCAAAAGGCCAAAGATTCTAAAACTTGTAGAAATGACGTGAACTCTTAAAATGCTTTCTTCAATTTTTATAAATCCTAAAAGCATTGAACGCCTTTAATACCTTAATTATTATCTTATAAATCTTGGAGACTGTAAAGATTCCAGAGATTCCAAAAATTCCAAAGATTTAAACACTTGAAGATATATAAATTTTTGAAAATCTGAAAAAGTTTAGAACTTGTGGGAAAATGTAGTAGATCTAGAAATTTTGAAAATATTGGAAAAGGTTGAATTTCAAAATTCTGGTATAACTGGAGCCTGATAATTTTAGAAATTTTGGAAAATGTGGAAATTCTGGTCATTTTGTGTATTTCTGAAAATCTAAAAAATTGGGCTAATCTGGAAAATCTGAACATTCTAGAAATTTTGAAAATTTTACAAATTACGAAAATTCCCAAAAATTAAAAGAAACCAAAAAAAAATCTTAAAGTGTTCATACCTACACTAGAATTTGTGAATTATAAAGACACCAAAGATACTAAATTTAGGTTCTAAATAGAAGAAACATCCAAAAAAAATCTTGGAAATACATATTAATGTTCCTAGAAATTATAAACTTTATAAAATTAAGGACTCAAACGTTTAAAAAGGTTTATAAAATTCTGTTCCAAATATTTAAAAGATTCTATAATTTGTAAAAAAACGCATGAACTCTTAATATGACAAAAATTTTAAAGATTTCAAAGACTCTAAACAAAACAAAAATCCTAAAAATAAAAATAGTAAATATCTGAAGAATTCTTCTTCTTTAATTTTTATAAATCCTACAAGTATTAGGGATCTTGAACACTCTAATTTATTATCCTATACATCTCAGAGATTCTAAATATTTCAAAGAATCAAAAAATTTCAAAGATTTAAAGACTCTTGTGGTCTATTAATTTTCGAAAATCTTGAAAGTGTAAAAAATCTGGAAGACCTAGAAATCTTGAAGACTGAGGAAAATGTTGAATTCTGGCATATCCGAAGATTGATATTTTTATAACATTTAGAAAATCGATAACTTCTGGAGATATCAAAAATTTACTCAATTCTAGAAATTCTAAACATTTTACTGAATTTGTGAAAATATTCCAAATACTGTGAAAGTTCAAAGTTTTCTCCAAATTTCAAAGATTTCGAGGATTCCAAGGGTGCCAAAACTGATTATAAAAAAAATCTCTAAGTTAAAATTGATTATAATAATAATTATTTTTCGAAGTTGTATTTGTTCGACTGTATTTTAGGGGCAAATGAAGTTCTATCGAAATAACTTTCAACCAATTTTTAAGATCTGTGTTACAGTATTTTATGAAGCGATAAATAAATATATGCGCTTTGTTGTGATATCAATTAAATCTAATTTTAAAATAGGGTATGTTTATAAAAAAATCTAAAGCTTTAGAATTTTCAGATATCGATATTTCAGCTTTTGTAAACATCACACCCTGTATTTTATACTTGATCTTACTCTATTTTGTGTTGATCGTTCTTTCAATATGTTGGTGTTTCCCTTAAAAAAAAAGAAAAAGAAAACGCAACAGATTTCAACTTTTTAAATATAAAAAATAGTTAACAAAAAAAAAAAGACAACAGGAAGCGAAATATTATGTAGTAATAATACTCCTTTTGAAATTAAATTAAAAAACACTCTGTATAGTAAGACCCAATTTTATATATTCTACAACGATGTTTACATGTTTATTTATCTCTCTACAATATTAACACAGATTTTAAAAATTACCTTATATATTGCGATCTTTTTGAACAAATTCATTGGTAAAAATTTCAACAAAACTGGAATACAGCCCTGTAAAAAAAGTGTAATTTTACCATACGTAAATGTAATAATTACCCACAATAAAGACGTGATTATACCTTAATTTTTAGGTAAAATAAAATTTCACCTTAAAATTAAGGTCAAATCGTTGGTGAAATTTTATTTTACCTCAAAATTAAGGTAAAATCACTCTTTGATATGTTTTTAATGGGCTAGAACAAGAAGAGAAAAATAAAGGTCCTATTTTACTCAGCAAACTGTAGCACTAACTTTGAGTGTATTTAACATTGATTTGTGACTCCAAATATAGAAGAAATAAAATGGGCTCTTGACCACAGAAAAGTTAAAATAAAAATGTATCGAAAGTAAGAAATAATTTTCAACAACTGAACTTAACAGAAATATTGCCATTAATTTTTTTTTACTATGAAGTTTGCAAAAAAAAACGAAAAACATTATTTTGAGAACCTTATATATCTACACTAATTTTTCATATTGGAGAATTATATTTCTACCAAACCTAAAAGTTGTCTACCTTCAAGACACGAACTTGTGAGATTCTGCATTATATTTTCACGCAGTTGGCAATCGTGCAAATGTTGCTTGTACCTCGATAATTGTATCAATTTGTTCAAAAGAAATCCATCAATTAAAACACAATATACACTTAATTATGATTCAAGGCACGACTAAGACGGTCTAAATCCGATTTCAACATTTTTCTTCTAAAAATCTTCAATCCTTGGATGGAATGAACGTCATTTTATGCTTAACAAAAGTGTTAAAAACTTACTTTTTCAAGTATCAACATCCACTATGGAACACAACTTTCGTCGACTTTTATTGACCTTGCACTTCCAAGTACACACAGAAAAAACAAATTAATAAAGTTTCATATTACAACATAAAAGTTGTAAAAGTACGCGATCTAATTCCGGCTTATATTAAATCCTTTAATTCGTGAACGCTTCAGTGTTTATCAGTGACTATAATAACTTTATGCCATAAAGTACGAAGAAAATCTAATTACATTCACAAAACTCATTTTACCAACTTTAATTCTATGCAAATAATTAATTATGGCAGCCAGACTTTTTATTTCATCGCTCCAGTTTTCCACTAATAATGATCGAAATTTTGAAGTAAATTAAGTTCGTTGGTTGAGTTTTAGCCCGACAAAGACAAAACCGATAACTAGTAAAACTCATAATTAGCCGTTTCCCTTGTGTTTAAATTCCCGAAGAATTTACCACAGTTTTTTCGTTCATATCTCTTTGAAGTTTATTACTATTTTAAATATTTGCTAGTCCGCCATCGTCGATTTTTTTCCGCCAACAAGCCATGATGATTTCATAGTTCCTTAATAAGTATTCATGAGAAAGAGTAATTTATAAAGATCAAATTGGCCGTGTGTAAAATCGCGGGGTGTGGTCTCCTCAAGAACCACCTTTATCCGCCAACCGAATTTTCGGCAAATAGATTAATTCCAGGTGGACGAAAGCCGAATTTATCGCGTCCAGTCCCATCCATCTTCTTATCTCGCGTAACTGTCAGTGGTAGCGCGACGCTGCCGCGACGTTTCGGCCTCGGACCTTGAGGACGCACTCGATCTGCAAATAGTGGGAGGGTGGGGTATTGTGCGGCAGGCGGAATCAACCCCTTGCAACCCCCGAGAGAAGAGCAAGGACCGTTCTTGCCCGAACGCAAGCCGACTTCCCACTCAGCCGACTCGGTCGGAGCGCCAGTGCAGTTCCGATCCGCGCTCAGTTTAGTTCAGTTCGTGGCCCGAGATGGTCGCATGAGAGCCGTTTCCACTCCGTCGCGAAGTTGTGCTGAAGATACACGCGAGACCGCCGAAACGAGCAGTGCGCCCTCCCTTTTTCGTTTCTTTATGATTTTGCCAGTGTTTTTTGTTGTGGATGTGTTTGTATTCAGTGCGACGGATTTTGTTTGATTTTTGATTTTGTGTTCGTTTTGGTTGCTTGAAATGGCGCTGTTCTGGCGGTCGGTCCTAACCCTGGCTACCATCACCTCTTGCATGGCCATTTTTATTGGCGGAGAGCAGGATGTAGGAAGTCCCCTAAGGGTCGCACAATGCAGAGCTACTTGTCTTGAAAGGGTAAGCTGCCATATTTGTATTCCGGACTTTTATTGTCTCATCCCCCGGACCCAAAGTCGCACTTCGGGTGGAAATTGCTTTTCGTGGTGGCTGTGAAACAAAGGAAGCGATTTTTTTGTAATAAAGTGCACCTGCTGCACAGATATGATTCAGCAACATTGATAGGAACAGTCACGAACTGCGATCGCAGATCGAAAGATAGGAAAGAACAAAACCGGAGCGCCCCGGAAAAATCTTAGGTTATGGCAGGGGCCGCGACACGATCCGAACCTAAGCCCAAAAGCCGACGATAAATATTAACGGGTCCCGGCCTGGAGATTTCGCGCTCCCTGGACGCCGTGCGCATTTGGATCTCAAATTATCCTCACTCCCAAAACTTGCTGCTTTTGATTCCCTACATCTCTGCTGAAATCTTGGACGTTTTTTCGGTACACCACATTCCTGCCGTCATATTCATAACATCCACAAGATTCACTTTTATCAATTAAAATTTCGCTTAAAACAGGTTAAGGCTGATAGTGATCACCTTTTGCTGTCGATTGTGTTGGGTCGCGTGGTCAAATTTAACAACTTTCGATACCCGAAACTGTGGAATATGTAATTTCAACAGAACTAATCTCTATGTTCACGAAGTTTTCTTGTCCATTATGGTTAAAATCAGAATGCAGTTGAATACCCAAGGTTCCATTCTCAGTGGTATTGCCAAAATATATACATTAATTCCTAACGTTAACGAAAATGTGTCAGAGGAGGATATCCCTTTGGTGTAGACCAAGTTCCAAGTTTTGTAACGAAAAAGTGTCAAATTGCACAGAAATTGCCCTACTTGGTGTTTGCAAACAAGTCAGTCTTCTAACTTTTTGAAATCGAAAATTTCAATTCATCAACATGACTATAGAGATGGTCCTTCAGTTACTACGAATTTCGTCATTTTTTTCTAATTTCTGTTTTAACAGTCAGCATAGAATTGGACGTTATATATACCGACTTTAAGACAGCCTTGGTGACCTACTTGACCATTTTCAGTTTCCTGTGCCATCTTGGGTTCATTTCGTGGTTACTTCGTTTGAGCAATTTACTCTTGAGTCTGAGTTTTCTGACCTAGTATTACTTTCAGAATAAATTTTAGGGGCGGATTGTCATTTAGACAATTTAGTTTGGCAAAAAATAAGAATGTATACCATTTGGGGTTTTGTGAAGGTTCGATCTAAGTCTACTTTTATTCCCAACGCTATAAACGATGTTATGTTTTCTACTGTACAAGAGCTGATTCTGACGTTTTGGAACGGTTGCAACATTTTGCAAGCGGCACGTGGCTGGTCGCTGTCGAAATAGTGCAAAAGCGCCAGTATTTGGTGTCCCGTGGAACTTGCCCTTTATAGTTCGATGTGTAGCCTTCCAACTCAATTTTCCCGTTGTTTACAAATATTTATATTCAGTTGGCCGGCTTTCGTTTTCTAGTTCGGTTGAAGGAAGCGTCGGCGTATTTGCGTTCGTAAATCATCTCCACACACAACGATGCATTTTAAAATGCAGTAATTCAGCAATATTTGCATTGCGACGCGTGTCATGCAACAATCGCATAAATTTTAACTGGAATTAGATTACGTCCAACGTTTGATCGACGATCGGTCTCCGAATGATTCGATATCTAGTTACTAGCATGCAAACGACCCCTTCGCGATTCAAAAAGCAAACCCCACAAAAACCACTGACCCGACTTTCCACTTTATATGTGATCCTTGTAATCCTCGAAGACTCAAATCTGATCGAAACGCGAGTTTTGGTCGAGTTGGATCAATTCCAGGGACGGATCTAGGTGAAATCAATCGCCGAACGAGAGTCTACATCTTGATAAAGCAGACGTCGGCACGAACGACTCCGGACTTGTGGTCTATAAAAATGATGCGTTATTTGGTGTTTCGAAGTGAGTCCCGCATTAGCCGCGCAAAGTGGTGTAATTTTGCGGAATGCGATTGTTTGAGGGCGTTTTTGGAGCTAATGACGTGCACTGGTGCGCTTCCCGGTAATTAAAATGATAAATTGCCTATTTGCAGCGATAGTGCGATGCTATCGGAATGCGTTAGAAAGTTATTAATTTTTTTCGAGGCAATCTAGGAATCCTGATGCGTACTTTGTATGTGAGTTTTTCTCGCGGGTAATATAAAATTGGATACAGTTTTTGTTGTGTAGTTCCGTCGAAATTGACTTAATCGGTGGGTTCCTAATCGGTTTGCCTCGGGCAAATTGAGCCGACAGCAATTTAGACAGACAGTTCAGGTAAAAGTTTCCAGTAAGCTACACAACCTTCATTAGAGAACAAACCACTTTGTCTCGTCGAGAAATTTCTTCCATATAATACACAAGCGTTTTTCTCATTAGTAGTGCGTGCGGGCAAAGTGCTTTTGATTGATCTTTGTATTCCGTGCACAGAAATGCATTGGGGTCCCCTCTGCTTCGAGAGGATTTAAATTTGAATATATATTGGCGATGACTCGTCGGTTTTCCATTAGTGCCTGATGCCGGACATTTTTACAACACTTTGTCCACGTCTTCCTGACTTGCGCTTTTCTTACGAGTAATTATTCCTCCAGACGCGCCCAAATCCGCCCTAATTATCCTACAGGAATTACCTACTCTTCCAATTTCGTTGTATACATTTTGATTGCTTTCCAAGAAAGCACGCGATTCCAGCCAAACCTGTCAAATAAAAGCAAATTGATTCATTTAAGCCCTGCTTTTATAAAATTATGTTTATTTTTTTTAGTAAAGCTCAATCACAGCCAAATTATGAAAATTCACTTTAGTCGTTCTCCGGAGTTGTGTCAAGGGTGCTGTTTGGCACCGCTACCTTTCGTACGTTTCATCAGCGACTTAACAAAGCTCTAGCTTCTGGATGAAGCACGCGATTCGGGCAAACGTGTCAAATTAGGATCAAATTGATTCATTTACCCCTCCCCCAGAATCGAAATGGCCCTATTCAAAAATCAATCGCCCTAATTAAGACAAATCTATGATATTAGCAAACGTGTCAAAATGGTGGAAATTGATTATCGAAAATTTGAGATAATCAAGCCGCCTCGAACCGCCAATTTCGAGCTGCACATATAATTAAATTACCATATTTTTTGCAACACGATATCGATGGTTATGGATTTTGTTGAAACTATAATTATACGGGCCGTTTCTTGCAAGCTCGGCCGAAATTCGTGCAGTCCCATTGCACTCACTCATAAAGCTCCAGACCAGAAACCGTCCATTAAAACTGCGGCGGGATGAGCGTCAATTTAGCTAATAATTCATTATTGCACGACCCCTTATTTCAGAATGATTGCAGTTAAATACGACAGAAATTAAAATCGGGCCCGATCATTACGCGGCCAGGTAAAACTGGTCCCGAGCTCGAGGAGCAGGTCAGGCGATTAGAAAACAAGAAGAGCGGAGGTCCCAGATTTTATCTGCTTGCACATGATTGAAAAATGGGCAGAGCTAATACGAAAAATTCGGGGTATTGAGACGTTGCGGTATCGGGAGGACCGATCTGAAAAATCCGAAACGCTTTCGGTCAAAATTCGGGCAGAAATTAGCCGGGCGGAGGAAAAAATGGAAATTGTTTTGGTATTACGTTCTCGTTTCAATTTGTTTTCTTGTTGCGATGACACGTAAATGGCGTTCCATTTCGCGTAATAATCGGATTTAGACGTATTTGGAAGAAATGTAATGGAAAAGAAGCGGGCAAATTTCGGATTGTAAGTGTGATTGCCGTAACTACCGTGCTCCAGTTGGGCGTTATAGGCGGAACATTGTGTGAAATGGTACGGCTGGAGGTTCTTTGAGGTAGACGAAGGCTTTGAACGTGTTCAGAGAATGAGGAATACTAGGAACCGAGGTTCTCGAAAGCGAATAGCTTGCCGAAGGGGGTATATTGTTTTTATCGCATGTGTAGAATCAGCATTTTTAGAAGCAGGGAAGAATGGGTTTAGCACTTGAAGTGACCTGTTTAGTATTGGCTAGTTAACACATCAAGACTTACAGCGTCGGTTCCAAGTAGTGTAGTTGTATTTCATTTGTTCACGTTGCTATTATTTTCTAGAACTAGCTTTTTATTAGTTTGTATAAAGCACATTTAACAAATGAGTAACTTCTGGTGTGGTTAAATTGCAGTAGAACTAATATAACGTAAAGAAGTCAAAATTGTAGAGGAATCGATGTTGAAGTGATTATCGGAAATGACGTTTGTCTTAAGTGTGACTTTAATTAAATATTTGTATTTAAATTTTTCTAATATTTAATTTTATACGCAAAGATTGTGGTATTTTCACAAATTTTATGACCTATAAGTTTTAAATTTATATTGTTTCTTATTAATTCATAAAATTGACTCAGAAATATAACATTAAAATATATCCACAATTTCACCCTTTTTTTTTATTTCATTGTCACATACGTTAACTGCGATAGGTAAACCCTAAAACGGTTTAAATTTTAGATCTAGCAGTATGGTTCCAATGATCACATTAAAACCAGATGTTAATTTTTTTCTCATTCTTCATAGCAGTGTAATATAAATCGGAAAACATCAGTGGCTACGTAAAAGTACCAAGTGTTGCTTCTTCATGAACTCCACACTTTTTAAATGTTTGTCAAGGTTATCAGACATTTATAAATTTAAAGTTACCAAGTCCTCAAATTTTCAGCATGATTTCTGTGTCCATTTTTGATCTGTTTTATGGACAATAGTTGATTTTTCAAATCTACCAAATGTTTGATGCTATATGGGCTCTTTGAGGATTGAAATGATTGACTTTTTTTTGTACAATATATTTTCGACTGCAATATTTCTTTAGCGTGTTGTATCCTTCATATTATAGTCTTGGTAAATCAAAGTGGCAGTCCCAATTTTAAGGCTGCAGTAGGATTACTATAAAAATACGACCTTCTGCCAAATAATGTTTAGTACCCTTTTTTTTCTATCTAGTCTGGCCCTGTTTCCAATGCCG